CTCTTCTCTCTACTGAGAGAAGCTAGTCTCTTTCCCCTATAGGAGGTTTTTTTTTTATGATGATTCTTCTATAAACATTCTGGGTGGTGCTGTAGCCACTGTGTCTCCTTCTGCAGCTTCTGGATCAGATGGCTCCACAGTGGAGCTTTGGGGGAAATCGTGCCACACTTGGATGAAGAGATGCGGGGGCCAGACTGTAATGTTTCAGGCACTGGATCCAGAGATAGGTGTTTATCTTGGTATATGGTGCATCATGTTGAGTGAGCTGTAGGATGCTATGCAGGTCAAATCCATGGTCTGCCAGTGGTGAAGCCCTTAGATGACCCCTTAAGGGGTATGCCCACACTGGAGGACAAAAGCCAGGATAATGTCTCATTTCTTGTATCCGGTCCAGAGTACAATGATAATTGCCACAGTAGATATAGGCTTGTGCCCTTTAAATTGGCCCCAGGTGCTCGAGTCATCGAGGAAGCACTGGGTGATTAAATTTGATGCCATTTTTTGCCCGAAATTTGACTAGTCTCTCACATCTGGTAGTCAGCCACTTTACTGAGCATGTGCAGGACAAGATCCTTCTCTGGGCACGCCTTCTCCTATCCGGTAGCAGCAAACCAAGGCTCCACCCATATTACAGCACAGCAAGCCCTTGATGCCTACCCTGGGTGCAGCAGCCTACAGTGCCTTGCCTCCACACAGCAGTAGAGGTCATAAATAACCCTGTGAAGACACTTACACCACAAGTGCAGGGGTAAGGGGCAGATGGCCTCACTAGTCAGACTCAGCATGTTGTTCCAAGATGGAAGGGGGAAGGTAGAGATCTTTATCCACAAGACTCTAGTACCCAGTGTTTGTATATAGTTGCTCCCAGTCCTTTTTATGTATGAATTAATTTTCTACCACAATGTCCAGAGGCAGAATTTCTGTCCTTTTAGAGGATGTAGATGGGTCAAAAGTAAGCCCCTTTAGTCTCCCCTCCTGGGGGGAATCTCTGACTTTGCCCTGGCTGCTGATATACTGTAAGAAGGTAGACAAGGAAGATCCCCACTCTTCTTTGGAGGAACTGAACCAGGATGAATTGCCTTCAGCTGAAAGTTCATTCAAGCTGAAGAATAATATTGCTACCCGTATTTATCCTGTTTAGCGTTAGCGCCACCTGGGTCTGTTCACCTCAAGGTCTCTCCCACATGGGGTCCCTATATAAAACACCCAAGATCTTTCTACTCCACTTGCTCTTAAGAGTCCATCAGATAAGGCATCAGCCTGAAAATCTATTTGCTCTGCTTAAAATGTTTTGCTCAACCATATCCTGCTGAGAAGAGCTTCATGCAAAAATGGATGGTACCTGTAGTAAACCCCCACCATCTCCTGTCCTAGCAAGAAGCTTACAGTCCTTGTAGGAGGATAACTCGGAGTTTAAGGTCCCAGTGGATAAAAATTTAGAGGGCAACCTTGAAACGGTTACTAAACCCACAACAGTAAAATCAGTCTGTACAGTGAGGAACAGAAGTATTTGAACATCCTGCGATTTTGCAGTTCTCCCACTTAGAAATCATGGAGGGGTCTGAAATTCACATTGTAGGTGCATTCCCACTCTGAGAGACAGAATTAGAATTTTAAAAAAAAAAAAATTCAGGAAATCACATTGTATGATTTGTAAGGAATTTATTTCTCGCACTGCTGAACATAAGTATTTGAACAGCTGAGAAAATCAGTGTTAAATATTTGGTACAGAAGCCTTTGTTTGCAATTACAGAGGTCAAACGTTTCCTGTAGTTCTTGACCAGGTTTGCACACACTGCAACAGGGATTTTGGCCCACTCCTCCACACAGATCTCCTCTAGATCTGTCAGGTTTCGGGGCTGGTCGCTCAGCAACACGAGAATTTCAGCTCCTTCCAAAGATGTTCTATTGGATTTAGGTCTGGAGACTGGCTAGGCCACTCCAGAACCTTGATATGCTTCTTACGGAGCCACTCCTTGGTTATCCTGGCTGTGTGCTTCAGGGCGTTGTCATGTTGGAAGACCCAGCCACAACCCATCTTCAATGCTCTGACTGAGGGAAGGAGGTTGTTGCTCAAAATCTCACAATAAAATGGCCCCATTCATCCTCTCCTAATACAGTGCAGGCGTCTGTCCCCTTCGCAGAAAAGCACCCCCAAAGCATAAGGTTACCACCCCCATGTTTCACAGTAGGGATGGTTGTTCTTGGGATGCAACTCATCCTTTTTCCTCCAAACACGATGAGTGAAGTTTAGACCAAAAAGTTCTACTTTGGTCTCATCTGACCACATGACTTTCTCCCATGCCTCCTCTGGATCATCCAGATGGTCATTGGCAAACTCAGACGGGCCTGGACATGTGAGGACTTGAGCAGGGGAACCTTCCGTGCTCCTCCCTTGTAGTTCTGGGCGATTCCTCACCTTTCTTATCAGTGATACCCCACGAGGTGAGATCTTGCATGGAGCCCCAGTCCGAGGGAGATAGAAAATGGAAAAGGCTAAAGACGACTATCTAACAATTGCTCCAACAGTTGATCTATTTTCACAAGCTACTTGGCAATTGCCCCGTAGCCCTTTCCAGCTTTGTGGAGGTCCACAATTTTGTCTCTGGTGTTTTTTGACATCTCTTTGGTCTTGCCCATGGTAGTAGTTGGCGTCTGACTGTGGGATGGACAGGTGCTACTAAGTTAATTAATGAGTGGAGAGGTGGACTTTTTTAAAGGCACAGTTTTTGAGAAAAAGCTGCTTAGGTGTTCAAACAGTCAGCAAACAGACAAATCTTCTGAAAATCATACAATGGGATTCTGAATTTTTTTTTTTTTTTTTTTTTTTTTTTTTTTTTAATTCTGTCTCTGAGGTGTTACAATGTGAATTTGATTTCTAAGTGGGAGAACTTGCAAAATCGCAGGGTGTTCAAATACTTCTGTTCCTCGCTGTATATGCAGTAAAGAATGCTCGTTATGGAACCTAAGGGGTTAATCCTTTAAATTGTGTAAAAACACTGATTGATCCTGACGCCTGATCTCTCTTCAAGGGCCTCCCCTCTTATCTTTGATAAGACAGTGTGGAGTCACTTTGCACATGCTCAGTTTGGTGTGTATTGCTAGAGGTTTTTTTCTTGGGAGAGTGGATGCGATCAGCACAGGGTGTACTGCTGTTTCTCCATCCTCACCTCTGTATGCAGAACAGAGGGCATGTGATCACATATAGGAGGGGGGAAAAAAAAAAAAAAAAAAGTGTATTCTGTTTTTTTTTTTTTTTTTAAACTATACACAATTGTTTTACCTTTCATTTCTATTTTAAACCATATGGGTCGTTTTACAAGGTGAGGGTTTACATACCCTTTAATTAATATGGGGAAAAGTTACTTATCTGTAAAAACATACACTATAAAATTTGTAGGTATCTGACCATCATACCTGTATGAGCTTGTTGCACATCCATTTCCAAAATGGATTATCTCACCCCCCTTCCTCAATGGACATTGATATGGATTAGATTACCACATACATATTTTCAGCTAAAAACAGCAGTAACGCCTCTGGGAAAGCTTTTAACAAATTTTGGAGCATCTGTTGTAATATGTACCAATTCAATTAACCACTTCCAGTCCGGACACTTTTACCCCCTTCCTGTCCAGGCCAATTTTCAGTTTTCAATGCTATCACACTTTGAATTACAATTGCGTGGTCATGCAACACTGTACCCATATGAATTTTTTAGCATTTTTTGAGACAGATAAAGTTTTATTTTGGTGGTATTTATTCACCACTGGGACTTTTTATTTTTTTTTGCTATGTAAATGAAAAAGTCCAAAAATTATGAAAAAAAAAAGTGTTTCTTATAAAATTTTGCAAATAAATAATATTTCAACATAAATCTTGGCCAAAATTTATTCGGTTATCTTTTTAGTAAAAAACAAAAAAAAAAAAATATAACCCAAAGTTAGTTTAAAACCACAAATTATAAAATTTTTAAACTTTATTTTTATATTTGTTTTTTTTAATTTTTTTTTTTTTTTTTACATACTGTCACCCTAGCAGTAAGTGTCACCATGGTGACACCGTACTACTTGTGGAGGGTGATCAAAAATTTCTTTTTTTTTTTTTTTTTTTACACCGATTGCTTTTACAGCCTTTATGGGTGTAAAAGCAATCATTTCTCCTCCTCTCTGGTTGCATTCTTGCAGCCATTGAGAACTACTGTCTGAGCTGTGATTGGTCACAGCTTGTCACATGGTACAAGGCTGTTGTGAATAGCCTTGTACCATGTGACCTCTGTGATCATTCACAGATTTGACACGTAATAAGCAATGTCAGAAGTGACATCTTGCTTACTACTCTGCATGTGATCACCGATTGGCCAATCAGTGATCACATGATCGGGACCTCGCACAGAGGTCCCGTCCAATGATCGGTGTTCCACTGTGTCCAAAGGACACACCGGGCACCGGATCGCGGTGCTGTGCGCTCCCAGGGAGCGCGCACAAGCAGGGTGCGGGGAGGCAGTTTATAAACAGCCACCTGGCCCTGTACTGCCACTGTCCGTTTATATACAACGGCCAGACGGGAGGTGGTTAAAAGAGCATTTGTGAGGTCAAGAACTGATGTTGTACAAAATGAATTGGGCTCAGAATCTGTGTTCCAAATTATCCTAGAGGTATTAGTAGACACTCAAGTTCCTCCATAATAAGACTGTCAAATCAGGTCTGCGGATCTGGTTTTGTTTACTGTTGAAATCATGCTGGAGCAAAATAAATGGTCTTCCCAAGCTGTTAGCCCAAGGTTGGAAGTGCAGAATTGTCTAAAGAGTCTTTATATGGTGTAGCATTAACCGTAAACCTTCCTGGGAACACCTAAATTAATATTGGTGGAGTGTCCACATACTTCTGGTGATACAATGTACCAATAATTGTAATGCATAACGTTAACATTTTATATTGAAATTAAAAATGTAAATGGTGTTTGAAACAAAGCTACATCACACTATATTTAGTACTTACTATTTGAATTCTTTGATTAGGTTTTTGTGAATTTTGGTGCAGAAATCGTCCACTGTTGTGCGAGAGTCAGGAAGGACAACTGGAGCAGTATAGTCAGGTAACTGTCCCTTTGGCTTTGTATAACTAAAAAAAAATAAAAACAGCAACCGATACATAAAATTTTAGCAAAGCTGGAAGTAAACAGTATGGTTTCAAAAGCTACAAATCCTCTCATCAAATACAAGATAAAATGATTTCTTCTGAAAAGAACAAGCCTTTACAATGGGTTCCATGCTTGGCTGATATAGTGCTTACTACGCCAGGGGGACATTACATTCCACAAGAGGAAAAAAAAAAAAGAAAAAGTCTGCAGGAAAAGATTCCTGCCTGACCTCCCCTTAAAGCAGAACTACACTGCATCTGAGCACCACAAACAAAACAAGAAAAATCTGATTTCCTGATTATCTGTCATATTTTCAGAGACCCTGAAGTAACACAACAGTAGAAACACCCATAAAATGCCACATGTTGGAAAGCAAACACTCCAAGGTGAAAAGGTAAAATATTGTCACTGGTTGCAATCAGCAACACTAGAAAAACTGGCAATGCCTGCAGTCAGGCAAGGGGATTTGTGCCCTGTAACATCAGCTACAATGAGCAGCCAGCTCTCCCTTTCCTCCTACAACAGGGGAAGGCGACAGCTAGCTGCTTATCGCACAGTGTTTACACTTGTGATTGCTGTGATTAGTCACAGCGATCACAAGGCACAGACCCCTCTCATTGTCTCTGTACTAAACAACTGTGATATCATTCACAAATGCAATTATATGCATGGTTTACATTTGTGGTTGCTGTGCCCAATCAATTGTCACTGGACAACGTGACCAAAAAAGACATTTAAAGATGGCCACTGAGAACAGTGCCACCCAGCCACTGCATTAAAAATGACTGGTCCTAAAGTAGTCAAGACTCCAAATTTTGTGTGTATAGAATTCTAATTGTAAGGGATACTCTGAGCCGAAATAAACGTAATGCATTTATCCTACTGATACAAGGCTATAACTTACTAGACTGAACGTCTGTAGAACTCAAATGAAATTTTACTCACATTCGTACTAACTTCAGGTAATCCCAAATTTTTTCCAAAAGATCGTCAAAATTCCAGCGATGATGGGCAGAAATTGGGACGCAGTGTGGCACTTTGTAAATCACATCTAGCTCTTCCAAGGAAATCTGGTCAATTTTATTTAGCACATAGATGCAAGGAATATAAACCCTGGAAAACACAAATTATAAATGAACAAAGTGCTTATAAATGTAACATGTAGTCAAATGTCTATACACATACCGGTTTCCTTCAACTACATCTATCAAGTCATCAGCTGTGGCATCACTGCGAAGGGTGATATCTGCGTTGTGGATTTTATACTCTGCCAAGATGCTTTTTACAGTCTCAAGGTCCAACTCAGTCTGAGCACACTATAAAAATAAAAAAAATCATGTTATTAAAAATTGTAAAACTATGGTTAAAAAAAACCCAAAAGTGAAGCTATGCAGGATGATATAATGGTAAGGTGATTGATGATTTATATGCTAGGTTTTGATTTTTTAGGCTGAGTGATTTAAAGCAAACCTATTTTTCTCATGTATGAATAAACTCCGGAAGTTACTGCAACAATACTGTTGGTCAATCAAAAGTGGTCCTTGAGCTCCAGTGCCTAGGCCTAAGTCTGTCAAGGAGTGATGTCATCAGTCTGCTGCAGGTTGAAGAAATGGATTTCTTCATTATCCCCTTGTCTAGTGATCACTAGCTGCAGCTCTTGTAAGATTAACTTTTTAGCAGCTCAGGTGGGAGATAAAAGTAGGAACAGCTAAAAACATAAAAGCTACTAAGCAGGTACTAGAATTTACATGACTGTGTCCTCAATGAGTAAGCATCGCAGTGCAGAAGTAGAGGATGACCCTGAATGATACCTGGAAAAAAAAACTGGGTCAAAAGATAATAGTGTCAGAAGTACTGTGATCTCCTTGAGAGGTAATTAATACATGTGCTACGTTTTGGACTCCTTCACACCATGTCATGCACTTTCATGGGTTGAGGAACATGACATTACAGCAGAACTAAAGAATCTTTTTTTCTAAGATTTGGATAGAGTGCCTAGGGGCTAGAACCACAATCAAGTTTAGTGGTAGTTTGCATCCCCCTTAGGGATATTCACTCTGTCTGGATCACCAAGGTTCCCTGGAATGGAAAAGAAGGCAAATCCAAACTTTTGAGCTGCAACCAGAAACTAAGGATAAATCTTCCAATGGGGACATTTGTTCCTAAGACAACTATCAAGGGAAGGGATATTCCTCATATTTGAAAGATATTCTGTCACTTCCTGTTGTCCTGTAAAAATGTTTAGCTGCTCATTTATTTTGAATGATCTGTATGAACCCTAAAGCGGAATTACACTGTATTGGAGCACCACAAAAAAAAAAAAAAAAAAAAAAAAAAAAAAACCACAATTTAATTCCCTTTTAACCAGGGCTGTGGAGTCGGAGTCGTGGAGTCGGAGGAAATTTTGGGTACCTGGAGTCGGAGTCGGCAAACAATGCTCCGACTCCGATTAAATTTAGATTGGAATTTAAAAAAAAGCAAGTTTAAAATGTCCCAATTCACAAAAAGTTATAATTAATGACTTCTCTACTGTAAGAATAAAGACCAATGCATGCAGTGCCTCACGTAACCGCAAAACGAACACGTTAAGTGACCGTGAAGAAGCATGCTTTTCATGTGCTTCACTATATGGCACTAGCAGCAATAGTGGTAACTCAGGATCATCTTCTTCAAACGAAAAATTAGACTTTGATTCCTTCTTAAACAAAATAGAAGTTGCTAAACGAAAGCGACGTTGCATAAGCGTTACAGAACCAGTAAATGTCCAAATAAAAAAATTCCAACAGGAGTTTTATAAAGCACTAGAAGAAGTTGAAAAGTATGATCGCTCATCAAAACTTACTGTTGAAGAAGCCATCCTTGTTTATCCAGAGATCGTTAGTGATGTGGCCAGAATAGTTACTGCAATGCCACCCACCCAAGTCAGTGTCGAAAGATTATTTTCAGCCCTAAAAAGAATAAAGTCTGACTTAAGAGCCTCTATGAAAGAGGATCTGGCAGAGGCAATTCTCTTCCTTAGAACTCTACATTGAATTGATTTGCATTTGCTAAGCCTATAACTACATTTCAAGATTAATATAAACCATTTCTAGGTTTTACAGATTTTGTTTTTGGTTCATATAGATGAGCTTTGTTTTTGTTCTAAAACAACCAAATAATGTGGTTTGTATTTTTGGACTGGTAAAGTTCCTGTTCCTGATGTTTATGCCTGCTGCTACTATCCAGCCACTTGATTAATAAAAAAAAATTAATAAAACTTTGTTGTTTTCATTGTGTTTGTCTTTTACGTAAACTGTTCAATACAGTAGACTGTTGGCTTCCCAGCCAGTAGTCCTGTGGTAATGACATGTATGTTGCCTTTCTTTCCTTCAAGGAATGTATAAAATACATTCGCATATTAATACAGAGGAGTCGGAGTTACAAAAACTGAGGAGTCGGAAGTACAAAAAAACTGAGGAGTCGGAACATTTATCTACCGACTCCACAGCCCTGCTTTTAACACTATTCTAAAAGGATAATTTTTTTTTCCTGAAGACACCGCCAGGTGAAACGTACGTAGAAACGTGATCCCATCACTTCCCGGGTCGCCATGACCCAACATCCGGCCCGCGGGTAGCGAGGCTTGGAACGCATGCTGGCCATCACCATTGAGATTCATGACACACAGGCTGCATATACTGGTGCTGGTATCTGGGCACCATTACATGTGAGTGCATTGGTATTTTTTAGTTATCTGTACCATGGTCTTTAATAAGCACTACACTTAGAGCATTTTAATTTATTCGCGCTACTTGGAACAATATCTTTATCTTGAGAAGAGTCTGGGATTGGGAATCCATCCAATATCTGTGCACCCAGAATTTCATGACCACTTATCTGGGGGCCGCCATCTTTGGTCCTCTGAATCCACATTCCATACTAGGAGACCAGGAAGCCCGACCCATGAGAGCTTGCTGCTGGTGGTCAACATATTACATGATCACAAAGCGCTTTTTGACCACCTTAACCGGGGTCAATAATTTCTGTTGAGACTTATTCTTTACACATGGTAAAAAGAAAATCCTTTGAGCTACGGGATTATATTTTCATGGGACTGTCACTCATATGTCCAATATTTATTTTATTCTGTTTGGGACTGTCACTTTATGTTGCCATTAGATCATTTTGTTATTATTTGTCATATGATTTAATGAATTAGCGCCTACCTATTCATAAAATCTTTTTTTTTTTTCCTGTAAAATAACAAACATGTCTATACTTACCTACTGTATGCAGTGGTTTTGCACAGTGCAGCCCAGATCCTCCTCTTCTTGAGTCCCCCACAGGCTCTCCTAGCTCCTCCTGTGTGTCAGGTGCCCCCACAGCAAGCAGCTTTCTATGGGGACACCCGCTGCTCAGTGTGTACACACACACACGTGACTTGGCCAAGCCCCCTCTCTCATTGGCTGACTGGCTGTGATTGACAGCAGTAGGAGCCAATGGCTCCCACTTGCTGTCTCAGCCAATGAGGCGGCAGATAGCCACGACAGCCGAGGATGTCATTCACATAGCTGGATCTCGATGGGGCTCAGGTAATTACTGAGGGGGCTGGGGGAGCTGCTGCACACAGAAGGTTTTTTGTTTTTAACCTTCATGCATAGAATGCATGAAGGTTAAAAAAACCTTCAGCCTTTACAACTACTTTAATTTTTAACAGCAAAGTCACCCACCCATCCATCCATGTCTCTGTTTTATATGAAATCACTGGAAAACACCCCCCTAGCATTTCTAGCCGTGGTCATCTTAAGTAAGGGCAGTGGATTCATGTAGCATTTACTTCCTAGAATCCACCTACCCTCAGGCCAAGCACACAGGTAGGATGGTATGTTTAGCTGAGAAAGCCCCTCCTCCAGATAAAAAAAAAATAAAAAAAATATGGGATGTATGACATCACTATGACCTAGACCAGAAACCAGGAAACAAGAAAATGGCACTGACACCAACAATGGGGCACCATTACTCCCACTGACACCAATGATGGGGCACTATTCCTCCTTCTATCTACCGACCACCAACCCTCAAGGCCATCTTTATTTTCACCGATGCTGGCCTGGGACATTTTCTACCACCACTTTTCACAACCTGGCCCTCCTAAAGTCTGATGGACAGTAAACTGGTCCTTTGTTTAAAAAACATTTGGAGTCCCCTGCTCTAATATACAATTCGAGGTTTTTTTTGCTGTCTGGGAAACTGGGGGGTTGCACCTCACTTCCTGTTCTGTCTGAAACCCACCAAAGAGACCGAGAGTGAGGAATAATTTCCTAAATAAGGAATCTACAGAGGTTCTCCCACATCCCACTTCAGCCCAAACATTTTCTAGTTTTAGATGAAGTTGGGGTTTAACATGAAAAAAAAACCCTGACGCTAGGCCATTAGAATATTCTGTAAAAAAGGCTGAAAGATATAAGTCTGAGGGAGTGGGTGACCGAGAACACTCTTTAAATACACAAAGTGGTAATGCTACTGTTTCTTAAGCATTATAAGTGAGGTTCACCTATCCACTATGATTGAGGTTCCAAAAATGAAGGATTTTTGTACAGTTACAGTAAACCTATCGGTGTACGGTTTTTGCTAGAAGAATGGCATTCTACTCTAAAAGGTTACTTTGTTGGGACAGTTTTAAAGGGTTTATGATTGTACGTCTCGTGTCTCTGACAATATTGACAAGTCAATACTAATAGCTTAATTAGTAGGCAGATATCAATGCTGTCTACACACCCATCAGATGTACTCTATAAAACTGGAAAAGAAAAAAAATGGATATGTTGTAGTCGGGCATATGCAGAAGTTAGTTCATTTTTCTAACATGAGTAGAGAAGCGACAGCAGAAACCTAACCTGGCTGATATGGACACAGCACCATTCCATGAATGGAAAAAACGTTTGGTTTTTATTATGTTCTGACCACTAAGCAGTTAAAAATTCAGTGTGGGGGGGGGGGAAAAAAAAAAAAAAAAAAGAGAAGGGCATGCCCATAACTGGCATAAAGATTATAAAAACCAAGTATTATGCCATTATTACACATTATAAGATTTACACGTGTGTATGCAACTAAAACCTACTGTCGCTGTAAGATTTATGCCTCCTTTGTCCTTCTTCTTGAACCCAATGTTTGGCGGCTTCTTGTTTAGTCTGATGCCAAAACCCTCCAGTTCATTCTCAATGATCTTTTTATGTCCCAGTGGCTTCAACACATCCAAGACAATGAGGATTAAATTGCAAGTGCGTGCCACTGTTATACAAAAATAAAAAATTATAAACTGGTCACCATAGGTGCAATACACGAATAGGTAATAATAACTAGCTCACCTGCTATGACCTGTCTGCCTCTGCCTTTACCATCCTTAGCACCTTCAATAATTCCTGGGAGATCAAGCAGCTGTCAAAACAAATAGTACTTCACAATAGAGCAATGCCATTTGGATGACATTCAGCATTTCCTTTTTGCTTTAATTATCTATACCTGAATCTTGGCCCCCTTGTATCTCACAACTCCAGGAACTGTGGTCAGAGTAGTGAACTCGTAGGCTGCCACTTCAGAATAAACACCAGCCAAGTTACTGAGAAGCGTTGATTTCCCTACAGAAGGGAATCCTACAAACCCTATTCGAGCATCGCCAGTCTTCGCAACATCAAAACCTACCAGAAAGGAGCCATTGTTTTATACATACACAAAACATTAAGAGCATGTATTATTACATGTGCACTTCTTATAAATTAACAACATAGAGCTCATCTAAAATCAAAACTTATTCTGTTTAAGATTGAGTAGGGAAGGGTTAAACACCTGTCTGTTTTTTACTGTTTGTTTAATTGAGGATATTTCACTTCCTGTCCCACAGACAACTGAACCAGAACTGATGTCCCCATTTCAAGATTACTATTAATGTTAAACAATTTGGACTATTTTTTCTCTCCCAGTGACAAAAGGTCACAAAAAAAAATAAATAAATAAAAAAAATAATATGAAGAGGGAAATCTCTGCAGCAGGGAGAAAAATAAAATCCTGAGAAAGATTTTAACTGTTCCCCCACTCGATCAAAAACTATGAAAAAAAAAAGAAGGAAGAAGAAAAAGAGGGTTGTGACTTTAGATCTTTATATACACTCCAAATGATTTTGTACATTTTACAAAATACAGAATGTAAATAAAATAAACCATAAAACCTAAGTGTAGCTAAAATTAAAAAAGAAAAAAATATATAACAATAGTACGATCAGCAGAAAAAAGTACAACGGGGGTCCATGAACACAGGATTTTACAGAAGAGTAATTAACACAAGGGACACATCCTAAGTTAACAGAGAAGTTAAGGTGTTTTTTTATTTTATTTTAAGAAATCATTACTTATCAAGGTGAGTGCAGCATCGGTCTGATGCTGCATCTGTCCTCCAACAGCTCCAAGACTGAGAACTGAGTGATCAAAGGCCGCTGATCACTCAGTGCTCCATGAGCAGAGAGCTGGTGACTGTCAGTCTCCGCTATCTACTTTGACCACTCCAGCACTCACTGGACCGCTGGGCTGTGGTGGTAGCAGGTCGCTAAGAAATTAAGCCAGGTTGGGCTTCAGTGAGGGGTTTTTGGCAGGCATACATGCCTTGTATGACTCTCCTAAAACGAGAATTAGGCTTCCTGGCTGTAACTCTGATTTCTTTACATTGGGTAGAGGTACCCGCCAGGGCTGTCCTCTTTCACCCCTTTTATTTGCGCTGGTGTTGGAACCTTTGGCATTGGCGATTAAATCACATTCGGACATTTCTGGCTATTCATTATTAGTTTCACATTTTAAGCTGAGCATGTATGCTGATGATGTTATGCTTTTTATTACTAGCCCGTTGACTTCTTTACCTAACTTGTGTGCTGTATTGAACGATTTTGCCAAAGTGTCAGGTCTCACCGTTAATTTTACCAAATCTGTGGTCATGCCTGTTAATGTTCCCTGACTCCCTAAGTGCATCTCTCCGTAGTGCTTTCCCATTTCGCTGGGTCAAGGACAGGATATCCTATCTGGGGATTAACTCACTCCCAGATACTCGGATATATTTGCGGCTAATTATCCACCATGTGTATCGCGTCTCTCTACTCTACTGAAGATCTGGCATGGTTACCATATCTCCTCTCTGGGTAGAGTCACGGCGGTTAAAATGAATATTTTGCCCAAATTGCTTTATCTTTTTAGAGCACTTCCAGTTCCGGTCTCAAAAACGTTTTTGGATCATTTTCAGCGGACTATTAATAATTTTATTTGGGGAAATAAACATCCACGTTTTGCCTCATCCATTTTGTATCGCTCACAACGGTCGGGAGGTCTCGGTCTTCCTAACTTTTGGCTATATTATCTCTCGGCTCGTTTTGCGCAATTGTCACAATGGGCTACTATTAACTCTCAAATCCCGTGGATCAAGTTTGAGTCTCAGTCGATACGCCCTTTTTATTTACCGGGAATTTTATGGTCTAACATCTCCCCCCGATCGACTGTTTTTCATAACTCCATAGTGACTCACTCACTGACGCTTTGGTCCAAACACAAATCTAAATTGGGTTTAGTCTCTCCTATTCACCCCAGGTGTGTCATTTTTTGGGGATCCTACTTTTGTTGTAGCCTTTTCTTCCCCTCATATGTTTCGTTGGTGGTATGATCGATCTTTTATCAGATTATCTGATTTCCAACAGAGGAGGATCTTATATTACCTTTGATATGCTGCGCGTGTTATTTGATGTTCCTCTTCGTGAGTACCTTCGTTATAGACAGATTAGGCACTTTTTTAAGGCGCACTTTGGCCTTACCCCATCCTCTCCGATTTCCTTTTTTGAACGTATCAGCCGTGACTCTCCCAGGGGTAGGGGTCTTATCTCAAATCTTTATCACCAATTTTTGATCTGTCTTTTTCATGCTCCCCCTTTGTACAGACGAAAATGGGAGGAGGATTGTGGCGTCACTTTTTCGGATGAGGATTGGGATTCCATGGTGGATAATATATGCAAGAGCTCTAGATCTCTTTCGGTTCGTGAGACGGCCCTTAAGGTTCTAACCAGATGGTATTATACCCCGTCAAGACTACATGTACTGTTTCCAAAAACGTCCCCTCTTTGTTTTCGGGGCTGTGACTGCACGGGTACTTTGGTTCATATATTTTGGGATTGCCCGACCATATCTTTGATCTGGCGTAGGATTTCTGAGGTCTCTGCCTTATTGTCGGGTGCCCCGATACGATTGTCCATGCAGACCTGTTTATTGGGGGCCCATATCCCAGGGGTCTCTGATGCCAATCTGAGATTGATACACACATTATGTATTGCCACTTTATGGTCTATTGCCCTACATTGGAGGTCCAATGTTGTACCCTTGGACTCCGTTTTACACAGAATTGACACTGTAATGCTTATGGAACGCATTCATTATACCCTACTGGATAAGATGCACTTATACGATAAAAAATGGGAGTCATGGAGAGATTGCAGACACTTATTACATGCTTAATAACATCCCCAGTAAGAGTTGGCTGGCATGTACTATTGACAGGTGTATCACCTAACCTACTTTGTCGTTTACGTACTTCATGCACTTGTAACTTCCTCTTTTTTTCTTATCTTCTTTGTTATGTTAATATACTTTTATGTATTGTACTTTTCAAAAGTGCCTTGTTTTTGCTGACAATATCACTTTTAAAGTGTGCTGTTGTTTTACTGTCTACTCATGTACAATAAAATCGTTTGTAAACAAAAAAAAAGAAATTAAGCCAGGTGCTGGTCAAGGGATCTGGGTGGATCCAAATCGTAAGGTCAGGATCTTTCCCCAGCCTAGGCCGGCTGAGTGATGTCAGCCGACAGTGAACTTTATAGTGTGATCCACAGGAAAGGTACAGCCAAACAAGCTTTGGCTGTATTTCTCCTTTAGGTCCCTTGTGCTAATTTCGTTTTTTTTATTTTAAACTACACTTAGACGTTAAAACAGATGGAAATCATTGGGGTATTCCCCAACTATTTTTCCTTCCCATTCTAACCTTCCCTCTTAGATTCTTCCTATACTTCTTACCCTAACAATGTCCTGTGTTTTCTAACAAATTTCCCTTATCCCTTTCTTTCCTAGGCGAAAGTGACACTGGACAATTTCTTATGAAAAGAAAAAAATAATAGATACATTATCAATGATTTCAGGGCAGGTAAAATTTACAGAGAACATGCAGCATACCAATACTAAAAAAGTGGCAATACTAATTTTAGATACCATTGATATATGCTGTCTGTGTCTTTTGAATTACATACTACAGTGTATGGCACAAAAGGACTACGAAGAATAATATAATTTTGTTTGTATCGTTTCTGAAAATTTAATAAAATTAAACTACAGTGTTCACATCAGCAAATGGAATTTATCTGCAGGCAAGAATGGTAAAACCATGGTCAGCATCAAGCCATTAAAATGTACCTTCACCAGGACCACCTCCTCCACCTCCTTTGGGGGTGATCAGCTCTCGTCGAAGTTTAGCGAGACGAGCTTTCAGCAACCCAAGATGGTGTGCCGTAGCTTTATTCTTCTGAGTTCGGGCCATCTGGAAAGTAGATAGCAGCATGGTCACTTTGTTTTATTCTGAATCAGCAAATTATATTGTATTTCCATTTTTGACACCAAATTGGGAAAACCTCAGGTTTATTCTTGTTATGTGTTCCCAGTCACATAGCACCACATAAATAAAATGCTGGTCACTTTTTTTTCTTTTTAAGTGCTTTTTTTACTTGCCTAAAGAATATATATATATGTATATTTTTTTTTTTTTTTTTTTTATTTATTTTCTTCATTTTCATTCGGTTTCCTACCCCTTCTAACATCCATACTAAGTAGCCTGTGGAAGAAAGATCTGAATACTTACCTATTGTCAGGCTGCTGTGGTCCAGTCACGTGGTCTACCCCTATGTCAGTCAGCGCCAGCTGCAGGAGAGAGAAGAGAGTACTCCACAATGGCTGGTAATGCCTGACCGGTGACATCACCCATAGGCTTATGACAGCCCATCCATGACGTGACTGGACCAGAGCGGCCTCAAATAAGTACAAGTATACACATCTTTCTTAGTATAGGTGTTAGGAAGAAGGAAGGGGCAGTTTTAAGATTGGTTAGGTATATCCTGGAATACTGCTTTAATTGCTTCCCACCTGGCCACTGCACATAAACAGCTGGGTGTGACAAGAACCGTTCTGAGGGGACATGCCTGTACATCCTCTCAGAACAGCCAGCAGCTGCGTGCTCCGGTGATGCCTGTGCCCCCTGGACACAGCACACCACCGATCGGCAGGTGGGCTCTGTGATTGGCCCTTCTGATCACATGATGACTGTGCTTTTGTCAGCCCATTCAGCCTGGGTTCACACTTGCGGTGCAGGCTGTGGCGTGGCATGACGCAGGGGGGTGTCAGCCTGGTGTGGTCCTGGCCCGGCACCCAGGTAACACTGCACGAGCTGCAGAGACACAAGGGCAGCACACCACGCTCACCATCTATAGCAGCTTTTCCCAGCTATCAGCAGGACAGAACAAGTGGCCATCGTGAAGCAGGCACCACCAAACAGGTAGAACACACACAGTAAAATAAAGAGAACAGGGGGTGGGGGCGGGGCACACCCTGTGCGTTCTATGGCCATCAGATCTGCAGGATCACACATTACTGTGTAAGCAATAGCTTTAGCTGTCATGATTTTCCCATTCATGAACAGCTTGCTTTTGGCTTTGATTGGCTAAGCTAATCACATGGTACAAGTAGCCAGCTAACGTGATTGCTGTGGGCTAATCGCAGATCACAACAGTAAGTAAGCTGTTCATGAATGGAACCAAAATTCATAACAGATTTTTGACATTGCTATTGATCACATGATACCCGGTCACTGGTAACAGTGATCCACTGGGTGCACTCCTATAGAGGTGCAGGCTCAATCACGTGTACACACACACACACACACACACGACGAATGAGCCTGCATGTGCCATCCTGCTGCAATAAATGTACTGACAGGGTGACAACCTGTCCAAATAGGACGTAAGGCATCAATTACACATACATAGTCAAGAGATAGTTTTAATACCTTTGGAGAAATCAGTTTAAACGTTGCGCATCAGGCTAAATTTACAAAGCTAACAGCAACAGCGAAGGTCCAGGTATAGTTGGTATTGCATAGTCACACATAGGCCCAGCTTGGAGCAATGTAACCATACATACTTCATACCTGTGGGACCTCTGTGGAAGAGAAGAATCACTATAGGAGTAGGTGCTACTACAGTGATCGCCAAGGTCCTCTTGGTCCCATGCCTGGCCTTCTACATAGTGAATACAGGGGGGTCGCTTACTTAGCAAGCATACGAAAACATATAATCACCGTACTGCCCTGTAAATGGTGGCAATGCCAAACGAAACGAGCGACCCACAAAGACAGCAACTCGGCACAGAACCCAGAAAATCATAGGAATCACTGCAGTAGCACCCTCTAAGGTTTGTAAGTTGCAGTCATATGGCTAAAATAAGGATCGGTATCTTTGTCCAGCGATTTGAACCTATTGTGTTACATTCTGCTATTGAAAGATCCTAATACAGCTCCTATTCATTTATAAACTGCCGTGCAAAGAATAAAAGGATTGTACAAGAACCTAAAGCAGCCACAATTCAGCTATCAGAGGCAAGCAAAGAATTGATAGCGGTATTAAACAAAAATGTAATATTGCAGCTTACCAATCATTAGATGCCGCTGTTTTCATCTGGTGATCTGGCCAGTAACACACCTCCTGTATTAGAATAACCCCACTCCGGATGAAGGAACACGGGGGGCACAGCACTCTCAGTCTTAGATGTAATAGCAGATTTAGATACACTAACAAATTTAAGCCAAACTCCAGTTCACACTTTATAAGCTGTTTACGGCAGTTCTTTCCCTTTTGGGTTAAAGATTTTACATAAAGGCTGATCACTGTAAACACCCTGTCAGTGGTAAATGGATTGTTTCGTCCCTCCAACTGCTATATCTGCAGCATAGCTTGGGCTGTTGAAAAACAACAGACTTACTTGTCATATCACCAGGTGAAAATAGAGGAAAGGAAGCCAAAAAAGAAAATGAATGCAGCCATATGATCTAAGAATTGGTAAGCTGTAATATAGGTATACTTTTGCGTTTAACACTGATTAAATTAATCGCTTGCGGATCACCCGCCAACTGCATACGGGCAGCCTGTACAGGCACAGCGATGTACATGGACGTTGCTGGCCTCTTCCAGGTACAGGGTGCACGCGCGCCTCCACCCGCCAACTCCTGCTGTGATTGTACACAGCAGTTGTTAGTCAACAGATCCCAGCCAATGATTCATGACTGGGACCTGCTGATCAGCTGTGTCCAATCACAGCCCAGAGTTCTGTGTTTATTTAGTAAGAAGCAGCACATAACCACATTACAATATTGTCAGGCAAACATTTAACCCCTTGATTACCTGAGATAACCCCTTCCCAGCCAGAGTCATTCGTACTGTGACAGTGGATAGTATCACTGATCACTGTATTAGTGTCACTGGAGATGTCAGTGGCAGTTAGTTCCCCCCCAATGTCAGACTATCACAGTCCCACTATAAGGCACTGATCACCGTCATTACTAGTATAAAAAATAAATAAAAATTCCAGTGTTATATATATATATATATATATATATATATATACACATATATATACACACACACATACATATACACACAATCGTTTGTAGATGCCGTCACTTTCATTCAAACTAATCAATATACACTTACTGGGATTATTTTTTTTTTAACCAAATGTAGCAGAACACATTCTGGCCTAAACTTACGAATAAATTTGATTTTAATTGATTTGTTTTATAGCAAAAAGTAAAAAATATTTTTTTTTTCCCCCAAAACGTTTCGTCTTTTTTAGTTTATATAAAAAGAAATCCAGTGGTGATCAAATACCACCAAAAGAAAGCTCTATTTGCGTAAAATTTAAAAAAAATGTGATAAAAATGTAGTTTGGGTACAGCTTTGCATGACCACGCAATTACCAGTTAAATTGGAGCAGTGCTGCATAGCAAAAAATGGCCTGGTCATAAATGGAGTAAAATCTTCCAGAGTTGAAGCGGTTAAAGGAGAAGTATAGCCAAAACTTTTCATGTGTATCATACATGGGCAGGTCATTCTGCACTCCTGTGGCCCATTTTCAGCTGACAGCAGACTGAAGTCCAGGCTAGGGAAATATCCCAACGTCAAAGTCGGGATAGACCCGAGTCTGGAGCGATACCTGGCTCAGCCTCTCAGCTAGCTGCTCCCTCCCCATCCACAGCCCAGTGCTCCGGGGGGGGGGGGGGGGATGGACAGAGCAGACAGGGGTGACTAACAGTCCCGCTCTCTGCTCACAGCAGACAGGAGAACTCAGCAATCATGTGATCACTGAGTTCTCACCCTTAGAGCTGGCGGGGGAAGAATGCAGCATTGGAATGAGACTGCATCCACCTAGGTATGTATAGATTTCGGGGGAAAAAAAGCCCATATTTCTCTTTTAAATACTATTTCTAAAACTTTTTTTGAGTTTTGGAGTGTGGAGCTGGATTAACCACCTCGCGCCCACCATATAGTAATATGGCGGGCGCAAAGTGGTTCTCTCGTTCTGGGAGGACGTCATATGACGTCCTCCCATTCTCACTGCGCATGTGCGGCTCCCGAAGCGCGGCGATCGGCAGTGTGCTGTGTCCCTCGGACACAGCAGATCACCGATCACAGAAAGAGCTGAAGATGGCGGCTCGGTCATGTGATCAGCTGTGTCCAATCACAGCTGATCACATGTAAACAGGGAAATGCCGGTTATCAGCATTTCTCTCCTCTCCAGCTGTCACGCTGACAGCTCAAGAGGAGAGCCAGTAATCGGCTTTCCGCGGAGGGGACATGTACACTGATCATCAGGGCACTGATAATCAGTGTGCCCTGATGATCAGTGTGGCCCCAGAAGTGTCACCTGTCAGTGCTCATCAGTGCCAGTGCCCATCAGTGCCTCGTGCCAGTGCCCATCAATGCCGCAATCAAAGATGTATCGTGTATCAATCAATTGATGTATTCCGCGGAGGGGACATGTACACTGATCATCAGTGTAGCCCCAGCAGTGCCACCTGTCAATGCCTTGTTGCAGTGCTCATCAGTGCCTTGTGCCAGTGCCCATCAGTGCACATCAATGCACATCAATGCCACATATCAGTGCCCATCTGAGCTGCCTTTCAGTGTCACCCATCAGTGCCACCTATCAATGCCAATCAGTGCCGCCTATCAGTGCTGCCTTTCAGTGCCCATCACTACCACCTATCAGTGTCCATCAGTGCAACCTTTCAGTGCAGCCTCATTAGCGCACATCAGTGAAGGAGAAAAATCACTTATTTACAAAAAATTGTATAACAAAAACTAAGAAAAAACTTTTTTTTTTTTTCAAAATTTTTAGTGGTTTTTGGTTTGTTTAAGAAAAAATAAAAAACCCAGAGGTGATTAAATACCACCAAAATAAAGCTCTATATGGCACAAAAAAATGATAAAAATTTCATATGGGTACATTTTATCATTTTTTTGTATGACCGCGCAATTGTCATTCAAAGTGTGACAGCACTGAAAGCTGGAAAATGGCATGGGCAGGAAGGGGGCACAAGTGCCCTGTAGGCAAGGGGTTAAACACCTGTCAGGTTTATATTGCCGTCATTGTCCCCATTAGGGCGATTTCCCCCTCAACATCCTGTCTTGCGGTCATGGCTGAATCTAAATGAACATCCCACATTTTCAGTTGTCGCCACAACAGGAATAGCGAGGAAATCTTCCAATGGGGACACTGGTTCTGATGACACTCCAGGATTCCTTCACTTTGGAGGGATTTTCTCCCACTGCATGTTGTGGCTACGAGACAGGAAGTGAAGGGAAATCTCCCCAACAGGGCGCAGATGGTGTACAAAAACCTGCCAGGGGTTATAACCCCCTTCTACTATATTCAAATGGGCAAAAAAAGTTTTAGTTCTACTTGAGTAAAATGAGCCCTGTAATGTCATTCAGCGACACGTCTTCCCTCCGGGCCTGATAAGAGCCGGCATTTGTCCCTTCAACACAAGCACATGTTGGGCCTACGTTCTCCGGCCAACAGCTGCAAGTGTCGCCGGCCTCCTCCCTCATACACCTTGGCTAATCACCTCGGCCTCTATTTCGGCGATCTTGGCTAGCGTGCTGCTCATGGTGGCTCACGGTTCGCGAAACCGACAACGACAAACTGCTGTAGCGGCAAGATGAAAACCGGTATCCCCTGAAGCAACTGCGCATGCGCCACTTTAAGACCCGACAAACCGAACGGCACATGCGCACTAGGCAGCTAGCGGGAGGAGACGATGGGCCGTGAGGTCACCAGCTTTTTTTTTTTTTTTTTTTTTGCCACTCCAACCCTCTTGCCGCTCCCTCTATGGTACTTCCTCCTGAGTCTTCCAAGGCAGTCTGGCTATAGACTGGAGCTGCGCTTTCGAAAGGAAGCATGTGACCTCAATGCCACCATTTTTTAATGAACTTTAATTTAACAAACAACCAATGGCTGCAGACTGGAGCTCCACTCGACAGAAAATATGTGACCTCCACTCTACTTTTTTTTTTTTTTTTATGAACTTTAACAAACAACCAATAGACCCAACTCAAGGAAGTGGAGGTCACATGTTTCCTTTCTGTCAGGTGCATTTCCCAAGGGTATCCCTCTGCAGACTGGAGCTCCACTTTTGACAGGAAATATGTGACTTCACAGTTTAACTCTTTCGCTGCCAGATCCATTTTTGCTCTTTTTTTTTTTTTGCACACATTTAAAAATCGTTGTAGGTCTGAAGATTACGCGAGACCCCCAATAATAAACTTCAGTACCCTATATTTTGATTAGGTGACGCTGCAAAAGCCCCCTATAGGTCATCAGTTTGGTTTTGCGGAGGAGATCTGGTGCTAAAAATATTCTCACTCCATCATGCATGGTGATTTGTAACATGTATATTGCAATTGACATTTTCAAGAGTAGGGCCCCCCCCCCCCCCCCCCCCCAACGTGTATGTTTATGTTCTTATGTGCATATATGCAGGGGTGGGAGGGCCTGCAAAATTTTTTTTTGGGACGGGGTATTTTATGTGTTTGGGAGTAAATTCATTTTTTTGCTTAACTTTTTTTTCATCACATAGGAGACACAAAGTCCCCTGTGTGATGATTTTTAGGTGACAGGTTCTCTTTAATGAGACATGCAGGGTCTAAAAGACCCTGCATGTCTCCTCTGGGCTCCACTGGATGTATTGCAATGCAGAGCGCATTGCAATACATCTCTTCCCGGCTATTCTAGCCGGGGAAAGTGACAGTTGACTTGGAAAAGACGTCATACATGTTGCTTTCTGGGTCACAGCAAGAAGGGGTTGAGAGCAGACATTTGTCCGCTCTCCTCCCTCACCTCCTCCCACCACAGGGCCAATCAGCGTTGTCCAGAGGATCAGGGGTTATGCATACTCATAGGACAATCGGGGGAGAATGAAAACTCCTACAAACTTTAACTAGTGCTCTGCTGGTCACTGGTAAAAGTCACAAGACTACTCTAACTGTTGAAGAGAAAAGGTATTTAGAAGTTTATATTTAATAAAACAATTGCATTTCCATGTTCTGTGTACCGTGGGAAACCAGATATAGTGAATGCAGGGTCCTGGGTTTAGTAACACTTAATGTTGTCTCTCTTTTTATACACTTTATTTGGGCTTGAGAGTCAGCAATATTGAACCTATAATTTGTATTTATAGCATAGTTTATGGCCACTTATTAGTTTTTTTTTATATATACTGAGCTGGTTTGTTCAACCGGTGTATGGGATATATGTGTTTTTGTGTTCTGGGGCGCATTTTCAATGTTTGGAGCGCAGTTAGCACCTTTGGTCTATGTTGGCCCCATTACAACCCTTTCACTTCCTGTCCATGGGTGCGGTTCCGGTGATTGGACAGCACAGTGATCCAGGGGGAAGGTCCTTCAGGTCTCTATATATACTGTGTGATACTGCTCGCCAGTCATGCCCCTGGCGATGCTGTTTTGATGACGAAACGCATAAGGTGAAGTCACGGCATGTGATGGCATCTTGTAGGTTAGAAACACTGTATTGACATGCTGTCTTTTATCATGCTGAATGAATGTACATTACTGTGAATACATTTTGTTTTTTATTTTTACTAGACTACGAGCTGGCATTCTTCTCTTTTGTGATGTCTGTTGCCCAGAGAAAGTCTTGGTTTTTAAGAGCTTGAAATCAGGAGAACATGGAGAATCAGGTGAAAGTGAATCATTTGAGAAGTCTTACTTGGGAGTCTGCTTTATATTGTTTGGGTCTGATAACTGCACTATTTGACCAATCCTTCAGTTGGTCAGATCCTTTGGAAAGAAGTTGCGTGATTGGGTGGATATTCAAGGATTCTTCTGTCTTTGTTTCTTCTTTCCAAACACCAGCACTTGGAGACTTATGTGGGCTTCGCATGGACTATGTGGACCTATGTGGACTTCGCTTTTGCACCATGCAGTTTCATGCACCCGAAAATGTCCTGCATTTTCAGGTGCCTGGAGGTGCCAATAAAATTATTGGCACCCAAGAGCAGCACATTTTGTCTAAATATGAACGTAACGTATTCTAAAAGTTGAACTTAGCCTTTAAGGGGCTTCCTTTAGTCTTCTTCGTCTCCTCTGGTGGGTTTTTATCATGAGGCATTTATGATAGTCCAGATTCACTCTCCGGTTCCCTGATCCCACTTCTGTAGCCTTCAGGTAATACAAGCCGTCGGGGGATGAGATCTGGAGGCTCTCGGTATTCTTCAGGAGCTGGCCAGTCTTCTTTCTCTGAATCGCTGGATTCCAGTCTGTACTGGTATTCGTAGTCTGTGACTCTGTAATACGAAAATTAAAATGTGATATTAGTAATGACCCCAAACTACCTTTAGACTATGTTCTATAATAGGCTTTCTCAACCAGGGTTGCTCCAGTTCAAAGTTCCCCAAGCAGTGAGCAATGACAGATTGATCTTCCACCCTCCCATCAAAATTTCCTGCAGAGGTTATTAGAGGGGTTCCCAAGCAGTGAGCAATGGCAAGGGTTCCTCTGGGGTAAAAATATTGGGAAAAGCTACTATATGTGACTAAATGTTTTTTCCAAGGCTTCTCTATAAGATATACATACTATACAACAGGCTTTCTCAACCAAGGTTCCTCCAGAGATTGTTGGAAGATCCCCGAGCAGTGAGCAATGGCAAACTAATCATCACCCACCCATAAAAATTATTTCAAGGGTTCCTCTGGGGTAAAAAGGTTGAGAAAGCCTACTATACTACTATATGACAACATTTTTTTCCAAGGCTGCTCTATAAGATATACTTACTCAGACTCCAATCCAGATCCATGTTCAGTGAAGCCCGAGCTTTCCTCATCACTGTCCTGCTGCCTGGCCTCAATGTATTTCTGGACTATTTCCGCTTCCACTCCCCGTTTTTTAACAATGTTCTTCAGGCGCTTCTTCAGGGCCACCTTCATCTTCCTCTTCTCGGCCCTCTTTCTTCTCAGGTTCTTCATTGCCTCGACCCAAAGCTCAAGCTGCTCATCATCACTGGAGTCTCTAAGGAATCACAAAAAAATAGAGCACTGAAGCAAGAAAAAAACAAATACTTCAAATTTTGCTTTTACCACTTGCCCTCCTGAGGATTTACCCCCCCCCCCCCCCCTTCCTGACCATGCCTCTTTTTGCTGTTCGGCGCTGCACTATTTCAACTGATAATTGTGCGGTCATGCAATGCTGTACCCAAATGAAATTTATGTCCTATTTTTCACTCAAATGGAGCTTTCTTTCGGTGGTATTTGATCACCTGTGCGCTTTTTATTTTTCGCACTATAAACAAAAAAAGATCGAAAATTTTGAAGAAAAATTATATTTTTTACTTTCGGCTATAAAAAATATATAGTAAACTATATATAGTTAGTCATAAATTTAGGCCAAAAGGTATTCTGCTACTGTATTTGCCAGCATATAAGACGACTGGGCGTATAAGACGACCCCCAACATTTCCACTCAAAATATAGAGTTTGTTATATACTCGCCGTATAAGACTACCCCCTCTTCCGCACACCTTCCACACACCAAATAAAACGTAAAAGAACATCAGATTTGATTTCAACATCTTAATTTATATTCGCAATATACCCCTGTGTGCATTTATTGTTACCGGTTTCACATGAGTGCCATTAGTATTAGTGCCACTACAGTACCTGTCATTGTCACCATTGTACGCGACCGCAGCGCCTCCGGCCAGTCCCTGCATCTCCCTGTAATTGGCACTAGTGCGCATGTGCGAGCTCTGCATAGACAAGGGGCGGGCCGGAGCGCCGCTGCTTCCCGCCGAGCAGAAAAGGCTGGCACTCCCGTATCGCTGCTGATGCTCGCCGCAGCCACGCTGTAGAATGAGGTGGGCGGGCGGGCATCGGGAGGCCACTATGGCAGCTATATCTATCCCAACTGAAGTGCACCCGGCGTATAAGACGACCCCCCCCCCACTTGGAGGCATGTTTTCAAGGGCAAAAAAGTCGTCTTATACGCCGGCAAATACGGTATATGTTTTTGGTAAAAAAATCCCAATAAGTGTATATTGATTGCTTTGTTTGAAAGTTATAGTGTCTACAAACTATGGTATAGATACTGCAATTTACGCCATTTTGTGCTATACAGTGCTGCACTAGTTTAACGGACAATTGCGCAGTCATGCAATGTGGTACATAAATGAAATTTATGTCCTTGTTTTCATACAAATAGAGCTTTCTTTTGGTGGTATTTGATCACCTGTACACTTTTTATTTTTGGTGCTATAAACAAAAAAAGACCAAAAATTTTGCTTTGTGTGAAAGTTTAAGCATCTACAAACTATGGGATAGATAATGGAATTTACACAGCTTTTACTTTCTGACTGACCATAATTTCTTGAGGTGCTAAAATACCAGAACAGTACAAACACCCCCAAATGACCCCTTTTCGGAAAGTTGACACCATAAGATATCTGCTGAGAGGCATATTGAGTCCATGGAAGATTTATTTTTTTCCACAAGTTTTTGGAAAATGACAAAAACATTTTTTTTTTTACACAAAGTTATCATTTAAATTATATATTTCTCATACAAGCCATGGGTATATGTGGAATTACACCAGAAAATAC